CGTTGGCCCTTCGTCGGAGCCCTTCCTCGTTCGCTCTGACGAAGGGCTAACGCTCGAAACGTCAGCTTTTGTAATCATTACGGTGGCTAATTTACCATTTCAACTTTGTTGATATATCTAAATTATTTCGTTACTCCCACCGACGCAGCCCCACACAGTTTCTTTCGAAACTATCAGCCCTTATTCATTTGTAACAGTTATAATTCAACAGGTGGTGAATTGAATATTAAGGTTGATGTGAAAGACTTTGAACCTGAAGAACAGAATACCGGTATACAGACTGGTATATTGTTGACAACAGAGTCTGTCAGAGGCCAAGAAGTTCAGCAGCCAAGGACATCTACTACATCAGCTACATTGGGAAGTGTGTGTTATCCTCAGACAGAATATCTTCCGGCTCTCAAAGAGAAAATCTTTCTATCAATTGTTGAAAATTATCTCCAGACTACACCGCCACAGTCCACTGAGGAGCACAATATGTTTAAGGAATATGCAAAAGAAATGAGGTTCATCATTACAGGTACCTCTGTAGGAAGTTTAGTGATTACGGTGAAGTGTGAATCTCAATTGATCTTGGAGGGGCTGTGGATAGATTATTTATCTGGTCATCTTGGTGAAGTGGTTCAAAACAGTTTTGTAACTGAAAAGATCTTGAAGAAACTGAATCTGGCCATGCTGAAGCTGGAAACAACAATGGACATGGAAGAATACAATGCATGCAAAGTGTATTTTGAGAGAGTTGCACTCAGAGGTTAGTACTGAACAAGACTAGATCTTCTCAGAACATATTTGAAAGAGTATCTCTATTTCACCATGGAGTGGGTAGGTGTTAAAACTGTTACAATAATTATGAAGATATTGGTATATAGTTTTCTATCAAGACAGAACATGTTTATGTGCTGATTGTCCAAGTCCTGCCACAAGTGATTTGTTTGCAAGATGTTATTTAAATATCATCTAAATTTTGCTTTGAGCTGGTTGAACTTTCTTCATTTCTTTGTTTGTCTGCCTTTTTGTGTTAATAAAAAAGCATTGTTTCCACCAACCTGCTCTTAGTTATTGCTTCAGATAGTGCTTTAATTTCTTTCTTTTTTTGGCTGTGTTATATTTTATATTGATGAGAAGCAATTTAAAATTGATATGAAAAGAATCAACATGCAAATGAAATCAGTCAGCTGTAGGTTTGGTTGCTAAACTTAATTATGAATGTGGGTTATCTGCCCCAGAATAATAAGATCTGTGTAAGAATTGTAAAATTGAAAATGCAGTTTTGAGGGAATGGTAAACTCATTTAATTTGTTTTCTTTAAATTTTATTCTAGATGTTTTGTCAGCTCATTCATACTTCAAAAGTACTGAAGATGAAGCACAGTTAGAAAGATGGAAACAGAAGACAGAGGTTGTGGAGTCAGAGAAAGTGAAAAGTAAATCAATTTAAAGCTTATTATTCAGAATTTAATAAAACAAAAAGTTAGGCTAGCTTTTCACAGAAACTCTTCTTTGTGGACATTTGGGGTGGTTTTGAAAATTGATGATTTATGATGAGTCATTGAAGAACTGAACAGATGTCTTGAAGAACCAAATCTAACAGAGTATAATACCTTTTCATGACCATGAAACATGTTAGAGTGCCCATTGCTAACTTTTGTTTTTAGGTGATTTGAAAAAAGCGATTCATAATAATAATAATTTATCTGTGCACTTTAACTCGTAGGTAGTTTACCCATTCTTGAAATGTCCACCACTGGTCACAATAACGAAGGAGAAGAACCACAAGAAACTATGAAAGGTGAACAGAAAATTCAGTTTTTCTTTTATGTACTCTTCTACGAGGAAATAAATCAACCAAGAATGCTGTTAAATTCTTTCAACTCTTATAAAGTGCTGGCTTTTTTTTAACAGAATCTTGCTTTCCAAGTTTGTTTTTTCTCATTCCATCCTTCATTTGTCTGTACCATGGAACTGTGAAATAGTGTATACCGGTATATTAGAATATTTGTGTAAAACTGGTCTCAGTAATAATTCAAAAGACATTTAAGAACTAACACTGAAAGCATGTGATTCTTTTCTTGACTTATCTGGACATAGCCGAAAACGTTCGAAAACGTCGTAAGAGGTCACGCGAAAACTAGAAATTGTCCAAATTCCATTATTAATGGAATTTGGACAATTTCTAGTTTCTTTTCACAGTTTCATAGAATCCACTTTTTTGATTAATTATAACCCTTTAACTTAACTATGATGGACCAAAACAATTTTTTTCTTTACAATACAAACAGGCACGTGATGTCATCTGAATTGTATGGTGGACAGTAAGGAGAATTACAATGAGAACTTGGGAATGAAAGAATTCATTTATTACATAACTGAAGATTTTTTTAAGCTAATAGTAGCAGGGGATGATGAAACAGTATTATGATAGTAAACTAAGTTTTTTAAAGGGAACTTTCACTCTTTTAAAAAATAATGCTCAAAATGTTCCGTATGTACTTCTCAATAGATCTGGCTGAAAAAAATTGCCTCACCAAGCAATCTGATGTTTGTATAACTTTCCAAAGAAGGGTCTTACATGCACTTTTAACTTCTTGTGGCCACCATCTTGATAAGTGGGCTGTGCCCTCCGGGCGGATGACATTTTATGGTTGCTCAGTGCACTCTTGGTGTGGTGGGCCTTCACTGTTGTTGATGCTATATTACTGTTGTCTGAAGAAAAATTATTGTGAGTGTGTCAAGATCTAATCCCTATCAGTTGGAGTTGGAGCACTGTTCAAGTGAAGAGAGAAAAGAAAGTGAAGTAGAAGATGAAGAATGTTGAAAGCTAATCAAACATTTCATGGAGAAGGCCTGCTACATAATTTATACTCACCAAATTTTTTTCTTGCCAAGAGAGTGGAGGTTCCCTTTAACCTTTGACCATGAACTATGCATTGAATGACTGACAATGATATACTTTGAATAAATCTTACACACGTGCCATACAGATGGTCAGATGTAAGTTTGATACATGTATGACTTTTGTTATCCAAACACT